TCTATCTATCTATCTATCTATCTATCTATCTATCTATCTATTTTTCTATCTATCTATCTATCTATCTATCTATCTATCTATCTATCTATCTATCTGAAATTAATACATAAAATAAGGAGTTCACATTCATAAGATGGAATTTGAGACTGATCATTCATCTGCTGCTATTTTAATAGAGCAGTTGGTGGGTAGACTGTGTGCTGCAAACCTCTTCTCCAGGTTACTCAAATCTGAAGAAATTCCAGACATCAGGTACTAATTCCTGCCTGTGGACACATCTTGCTTTGCTGGTGTGGGGCCTGGGAGGCTCTAATAACCACCAGGAACATCATACCAGGTTTAGAGATTGATTCTAAGAGACTTTCTCTTGATACAAAAAATGGCTGAATAGTCGCACCCAGGATTTAGGGCCAGATACTGAAGAGGCCTGCGTTGGAAGCAGAGAAGTCTTTCAGTCTGTGGTATGCTGAGTTAAACAGTCTTGGAGACTATTCAAGCTCTGTGGGGATTATGTTGAATTGGAAACTTTGGAGACTTTACTCATGAAGGGGTAGCCATTCATTGTGCAATGGGAGACCTAGGCCTTAGGCCTAATCATTTTTATATGGAGAAAAAAATGTGCCAAGGTTTGTTTTCATTCAGTAAATGGGGAGTGGCTTTCAAGGAACTCAGCTAAGGAAAGCATACAGTTTGGTTCTCCCCTTTGTGTTGTTGTGGTTGTTGTTTAGTGTCATTTATTCAGATCCAACTCACAGTAACACTGTATTGGGTTTCCAAGGTGCGGCTGGTGAACTTGAACGGCCAACCCCAAGGTCTAATGCTTTATCCCACAGCGCCACACCTGGACTTCCCCCACCCACTTTGTGTTGGGGCTTGTATATTCCCCAGGCCTGAAGGAAAGTTCCTTCTTTGCACAGCTCTCTGAGGTCCCCTCTGCCCAGCCAGTGAGAGAACCAAATCGTTCCTCTTGGAGCCTCATAGCCAGAGTGTCAATGAGGCTCCTTCTGAAGGTTGCTGTTACATTCCTTTAACCTTGCTTCCCACCCTAATTTCAGCACACATCGTTATTCTGTCTTTTGCAATAGGACATTACTTTGCTTCAACTTTGAGCCCTTACCTGTAGGGTCAAAGGTGGGGACCTCTGTTGATATATTTCTCCTGGGTTTCAGCTCCTTGTTTGGGTTTCTCTCAAACAGATTTCTTGATTTGGGTGCTGCGTTCTGTGCATTGTCTTCCCCGCTGACTGGAATAGAGAAGACCCCATGGTCTAAGTTAGGGGGTGCTCAGGTGAAGAGACAGAGAGAGATTAGCACTGGGAAGGGTGGGTGGGAGGGACAATCTAGCTGAGGTTATGGAGGGATAATGAGGTCATAAGTAGTCTGGGTTGGGGGACAAAAGTACCAGGGATAAAAACAGACAGAGTGAACTCACTGGTGAGGTAGCAGTCAAGGCTGATGGAGATATTGTCAAATGCCACAGTGGCTCTGGATCCTTTCCCCCACCACGCCACAATCTGCAGCCAGAACCTGTATGTGCCAAAAGGAGTGTGTGTGAGGAACAGCCTGACTGTTCATGTCTAGGGATTCAGCGTCCAGCAAATGAGTACAGATTACCCTACTTACAACCTTAGTTGTTAGCAGCCTTACCTGATCTCAGAACAGGAGGAGAGCACTGAATATACATACAGCACTTCCTTTCTGAAGCATCATTCCAAATGTTTACTAATGACCACCACCTGGCCCTTTAGTCCAACGTGGAGTTTGGAGCCTGGAGCCAGGGCACCTGGTAATATGAGGAAACCTCTTCCATTTTCTGGGATTATAGGGGTGGGTGGAAGTGGGTAGGTTTAATATTCAGCTGGTGCTCACTGGTGGAGTTGAAGTTGTTATTAAAATACTGAAATGCTTTTGTATCCTCTGATACCCCCTGCTTGTTGCTTTGGGCAGGCTGGCTCCTTCCACTGGACTTCTTCATTACCCAGCAATCAAAGTGTTACCCCCCCGCACACAAGGATCCTAAGTCTATTGCATCTTGTCCAGGATCTGCTCTGGGTAGTTGGTGCAGTGCCCAACAGGGTGTTAAATTTTAAGTGATTTGAATATTACCCTGGGGAAAGGTTTGCAGCCAACACAGAGTGGATCATAAAGTGTTAATAGCAAACACACTGTTTCTTCTCATCTCTTTCATAACCATAGAGGATCAGGTTCCCGGGTGGAGATCATGGAAGGTTTTAACGTGAGAAAAACCATGCTCCTGAAAGGCTGTCAACGAGTCCTCTTCTACTGCCAGTAGGGGTTTTCTGAAACCCTTAAAACTTTCCCACCTTCTAGAAAGCCAAAGCAGAATAGCCTATAGAACCACAGGTACAGGTGAGTCCAGTCTCTGATATAGAGGCTAAAGCATCAAGAGAGGGAACATTGAATGAATTGACTTGTGTCAGAATGAAATAGGGTTTTATTATGCTAATGAGTCCATATCAGTGTAGGGTATATCCTGACTTTGATCACTTCTGAGTTATACAAAGAGCAGGTTAGACACAGAAGGAAGCGCAACTGAGGAAGCCAGATGTCATGTGAAGACGGTCAATGAACCGTAAAGGAACTGAAAAACACCAGGGTTACAGAAGCTGAAGGAATCAGAGCTCTTCCCCCAGAATGGACACAGAGAGAGTTTTCTTCTAGAGTTGGTGCTCTGGATTCAGACCCCTAACCTTCTGAACTGTGAAGAAATAAATCCCCATCCTGTAAAGCCATCCCTCATGGTATTTCTGCTATAACACCAGTAGATGCCTACAACAGAGCCCATGTCCATGTGCTGGAGGGATAATGACTAAAGGAACAAGAAGTGGTGTGCTCAGACAAGAGAATTTTTGTATTGCTACCCAGCAATACAAAGAAATGGATCTTGGATATGTGCTATGACATGGGTGGGCTTTAGAAGCAGTATGCTAATTTGAAGACGCCAGATGCCAAGAGCGTATGATTCCATTATGTGAAATATTCAGAATAGAAAAATTTCTAGAGAAAGAAAACAGATTGGTGGCTGCCAAGACCTGAGAATGGGAGTGATACTGACTGTAAAGTAGCACAAAGGCTCTCTTTGGAGTGGAAGGAATGTTTGAAACTGGATTGTGGTACTGTTCGCACAATTCTATAAATGTGCTATAAGTCATTGAAATGTATGCTTTAAATCAGATTAATTTGATGGTATATGGTGCTGTGGGTTAATGCACTGGACCACAATGTCAGCAGTTCAAGCTCACCAGCCGCTCCTTGGAAGGTTGCTGTGAGTTGGAACCTATTCGATAGTGCTTAACAATAACAAAATCTGTTACAACAGAGGAGGAGAGAGAATCCAGGCCAGAGAATGTTGGTAGCAAGAGCAGATAACAGGAACATTGGGGGAAGAAAGAGGTTGACAGTGGAGAGAGAGAAAGCAGGGCAGAGAGGGCACAGGAAGCAGAATGCCAGCAGGAGGAAGGAGAGGCACATGGGTAAGAAACACTGGAAGAAGTGTTTCTTATGCTCACTCATAAGGATTTTCATGGATGGCAACAGGCTTGAGACAACAAGTAAGTGCAGGAGGAGTCTATGAGCAAAGAACCTCAGCTCAAAATGTAAAGAGGGAGATGCTGCCTTGGTTATTCATGGTCAGAGAACAATTACTGGCACCTGGGGAGCAAGGATTTAAAATCGAAGTGAACTTTTATCTAAACAGTGTGTTTGTGATTGATCATTCCTAACTAAACTACTCAATAAATCAGTCTATGACCTCATCCATCTTGTGAAATCAAATCATCCCCCAATTGTCCTTTTTTTCCTTAAAGTCAAAATGAGGACTCAGACTGATTTGATTCTAAAGAAGAAAGGCCTGGTTGTGTTGTATCTGGGGTCATCCCAGTGGTGCCTTCTCAGGCCATATACCCTATGATGGGACCTATATGCCTGCATTGGCCAGGAGAGGTCAGAAGGAGGGCTGGCCTTTGGTTGTGTATGGAAGAAGGGCTGCCCAATGGAGAATACCCAAATCCTGTTTTAGGCACTCAGGTAAGCTGGATGGGTAAGGAGGGCATAAGAACCTGTCTACCCTTTCCAATCAACTCTTGGCACTTAGCTCTACGCTTCTGAGAAACATCCTGCATTTTGACCTTGATTAGCATCTATTGAATGAGTGTGTATACACTATTGTGTATTGTAGATTAACAAAGGTTTGAGCAATGAAAAAAAGAAGACTGAAGAAGAATTTTTGAATTGTTGGTGATGAGTATTGAATACACAAGCCTAGACTACCCTAAGAATGAACCGAACATTCTTAGAAGGATTAGAAACTAGAACGTTCCTTAGAAGTAAGGTTGACTTAACTTTGTCTTGCTTATTTCGGACACATCATCAGGAAAGGCGAATTCCTAGAAAAGGACAACATGGTTGTTAAAGTAGAGGGTCAGGAAGAATGAGGGAAACCCTCAAGGGGTTGGATTGACAAAATAGTCATAACATACCAACTATGTTGCGCCTCAAACATACCAACAATCATGAAGATGGGACAGGATCAGGTAGCTTTTTGCTCTGCTATACATCAGGTCACCGTGAGTTAGAATTGCTTTGGTGGCACCTAACAACACCACCAACAACAACAAAATTTGTGTATCAGGCCTAAGGGGGTTAACAGAAATCAGATAAGAAGCATACAATCAGATTGTTTATTGAATCCAGTGGAGCAATACAGTCTGTATAAGTTAGTACAGAATAAGGTAGAAGGAGGTGAATGCCCCATCCATCAAAGGCACAGAAAAGGTACTAAGAGAGCTCAGAGACAGCAAATTAGAACAGGCAGGGAAAACCCAAGAGGACTTCCCAGAGGAGAAGCTATCCAAGCTGGTTTTGAAGGAAGGATGTGTACTTAAAGAGGAGAGGACAGATGTGAGGGATGGAACCTTTTTTGGTCCAAGTGTGTGAGATGTGGAAAGAAGTTATGTCTGAAGGCCACGCTGAAGAGTAATCTCACTGAAAATGGTGAGCCATTGAAAGTTTCTAACAGGACAGTGACAAAATCAAAGACCTATTTTAGATGATTAGTGTGAGGAGTCCTCTTTTGGCACTGTAGGATAAAGCACTGGACTACAGGTTGGTTGGAACCACAAGGTCAGTGGGTTAAATCCACCAGCTGCTCCTAAGAAACCCTATACAGGGTTGCTATGAGTTGGAAATGACTTGACAGCACTTAACAACAACAACAGTGTGAGATCGGAGTCCTGATGTGGCACTGTAGGATAAATAATGGACTGCTAACCACAAGGTTGACAGTTGAAACAGACCAACCACTCCTTGGAAACCCTATACTGGGTTGCTATGTGTCAGAATTGACTTGACGGTACTTAACAACAACAACAACAGTGTGAGATCAGCAAGCAGGACTGAAACAGAAAGACATGGCCGGAGACAGCTGAATGAGGCACCTTTGCACATGTGTCTCCCATGTCTCCATCAGGTTGCTCCCCGCATCTTGGCAAGGTCATGATCATGGTCATGGTCATGGTTTCCTTGATCTCCAAAGGGACCACAGTCTACAGATGAGTTCCCAATTTGAGCCTGGGCAACTCTGGAGCCAACTTAGGTCTCAGATGCCCATTTCTAAAGTGAAGGCCCCAGTACCGTTGTCTCCTGTTTCCTAAAGCAGTTGCAAGGGTTAGTGAGATGCTGCTCTGTGAGCAAGAGGACAGGCATTTATGGCTTTGGGGAGAGGGTGACTAGAAAGAATTATGTGGCCCTATGAAGGTATCAAGAAGGCAAAGCTTCCCAATGCCCTGCATAGCAGTGGGTGAGGGCCACACAGCCTGCCTTGCCCCAGTTCCACCCAGGGTGTCATGTCTGATTTCACTGCTGAGCTACATCGTGGGTGTACCTTGCTGGCAGGCCTGGGGTACTGGGGCAAAGGAACCACATACATGTGCTTGTGGTGCTTTGGAGGAGAGGGACAAAACTCCTGTTTGGATAGAAACGAGCTCTTCCAGGGAAGCTCTACCCACTCCCTTCTCCCCACCCTTCTTCAGCCTTCATTCTTTATTACTGGGAGATTAGAGCTCCGAAGTTCTCTAAACAGTCACTGGGCCTCTTAGCATGGATGGGAGGATGCAAGCTGGGGCTGGAATGGTTTCTAAATAGAAGAGTTTCTAAAGTGCTCAGCGAGGCGATGGCAGTGGCAGCTGCTGTTTAAAAGAGCTTGATTGACACTGGGAATTGCAAGTATTTGGAGTCAGGAACACTGGTAACAATCAGAGAAGACTCATTCAGATGTCCACATGTAAGCATGTGCTGAGCCTGTCCACCCAGGGGCCACACTGACAACCCTTCTCCAGATGCTCCAAGCTTCAAAAGCTGCAGGGATGAAGATGGACCAAGGTGGAGTGTGGGAAGGGTAAGAGTTGGGGGGAGTTGAGGAAGTCTGTGATTAGGGGCTCAGACTGACTCTGGGGATGGTAGGTGGTGGGGCAGGTAGGGATTTCTCCTCTGAGGGCACCAGTCGAGAG